TAATGACTAAAATTACAATTTGAGAATTATGTACTTTTTAAGGGTACTTATCACAATCAAAGAATAAATCCCTGAAACATAAAGAAATGATAGGTTTTCCTGACAACTCAGTAGTCAGTTTACAAAAAGAACACAATAGTGCTACATATTTAGCTTGGCTGTACATGTGTACAGAATCATACTCAAGTTATGGGTTAGGATATATGTACCTTTTTCCCAAACAGCATATTTCTGCTCATGAACTTTTTCCTGATATGGAACAGTAAAATGATTTAGGTGAGAGTCCCTCAAATTGAAGATGACAATCATTCTGAAAAAGAATTCATACAGTGATTAACATTTTATACACCTGGACAAATATATAGTCAATATTTTTATTAAAAATTATGTGTTTGAAGCACACAGTCACCAAAGAATGAATTGATTTTGAACATTCATACACAATGCAATCACAGTTAATAGCTATGAACTGCCAAACACCCTTTTTTTATCAAGAATACTTTAAAATTAAATCTAAACAATACTTGCCATCTATAATATGAAACTTGAGAACCCACCTCTTCTTCATGGCAGAGCCTTTAATTTTCTCATGGTAGGCTGAGTAGCTTGAGCCTATACAAAAGAAATTGAACATTTTATACGAATACATTTGACAATAATGACTCCCGAGCAAGTCAAGCACTAAATAAATAAAATAATGTAAATGTTTGTTCAAGTAACATTTCACGATACTTATTATTTGATTTTTTAAAAATGTGCTTGTACCAAAGAACTTTGGGATCCTCAGTCATGTTTTGTCGTCTTCCTTGCCCCGTCTTGATGTTTTCCCTTCAACAATCTGCATACTGATTTCACTCAACCTGTATTTTAACAAAATGGACACAATTAAAATACAAAATGTTATAAATAAAATAAACTTATTTGTCAATTTCGGAGTTGAAACTCTCAGCCAAGGCATAAATACATCTGTAATTAAGTTTTATGACAACTGATTGTGTATATTCTCAGTAATTAGCAAAAACCCGGTTTCAGTATCAAATTCCCGGCCCGGCTCTGTTTTAACTACTCATTTTAATCCCACTACATGTCTATGGAAGGGAATTACCGCCAAAAGTTTATGTATCTTGCTTTTATTCTTATTCTGCCTACTTCTTTATGCTTTGTTATTATTGTAATTATATGTCACTTTATTGTTTTCATATTCGTCTTTATTACATTTCACTTTGACTTTTATCCTTCTTCATTTTGCCCTTACTTCTATGTTGCTTTATTCTTGTAAATTCATTTTACTTTCTTTTAAATTGATACAGTTTCTTAAATGATTATCTCTATTACGAACGTGAATTCAGTCACACAAAGAATGAAGTATATTCAATGAAGACGAATACAGTTGTCAAAATTTAGTGCTGCATTATAACGCTAGGTGGCAGGGGTATTCGCTACGAGTGTTGGTAAAACTAGGTAAGCAAACCCGGGCCGGGGTTATTCGAGGTTTTTTTTTTTTAATTTTCCGCCTTAATACTTTATCAATCGAACTAAAATTTTCAAATTATGTTTGTTATAAGTTCAGGTATGTACCCGAAAATGCCATTCCTTCGGAAGATGGTAAGATATCCTCTGGAAGACTGACTACATAGTGGTGCTTCCTTCGGAAGATTATACAGTGGGACTCCCCCCAGGGAAGTTTCAATATATAGCTAGTCTTCCGTGGGAAAATCTCGCTGTATAAAATAATTCTTCCCCCTTCATAGCAACCCCTCCCCCGAATAGTTTTTTTAATCGTAAAATAATGTTTGCATACTAACGTTTTCAGTTTTTGAAGAAAACTTATCCGTCCTATATGAATAAATGTTTAAATGATATCATTTTAATAGTGGTTAATCATTAAATCATTTTAACCATTCAGTTAAACATAGATAATCTTCACGAGTACAAATGGATAATGACTTCCTTCTCCCCCCCCCCCCCCACCCCCACCCCCCTGGTGCAGTCGCCTGCGTGGCACTGTGGTTACAGCGTCTGCTCTAGAGTCACGAAACACAGTAGTAAGGAGTCAATCAATACCACTATGGGACGTGCAGTTGGGTCCTTCTGATGAGATCTTAACCGTATTATCCGAGGTCCCGTATCGCAGTAGGTGCTGGCACGATAAAAGATCCCTCACTACTCAATGGCTATAAGTGCCGAGTATATAGGACAAATTTGCAGCTCTCCACCGGCAAGAGGTGGCTTCTCCATTTGAGTTAAAAATTCTCGAATTTAAAGGGACGTTATACAATGTACAATCATCATCACAAGTCTCAATAAATATACTGACTACCGTCTGTACGACCTGCTATGGGGTAAGTTTCACCGGTAGAGGGGAGGGTGGCCACGAAACATTTCCCTAAACGTAACAGACTTTCTACTACTGGAAAAGTTCAGCGAAAGGCTTGTTGCCCCCATCCCTTACATTTTTTGTTGCAGTACTAATAGTCAATTTATATATTAAATATATTAAAATCATGTACTTAGTGGCATATGAGTAAAATTTGGTATTGAACACCACCGAATAGAATTTTCACGTTTTAAGATTTTTTTTTTTACTCTTCTGGCTGATGTAAAATACGGTGCATACTAGAGATATTGCTTTTCTTAATTGAAAAGTGCTAATCAATATAAAATATTATAGCAGAAAAAAGACTGGGGAGTTTCTAGTATGCCTGGGGTGTAGCCTGGTTCCGACTTCGCCTACTCATAAAAACTCCTCACTCCTTTGCAAAGCCCCGTCCCTAGAATCACACGCATGAGCAGTTACTATCTGTCTTGAAATAAAGTTCAGTTCAGTGGAAGGTCCGGAAAAACAACTCAATTTATAAGGGGTAACTAGTATAAAAATGTTTAACATTTTTATGTCAATTAAACTGGAATTCAAATATCCCAACAAATAATTAACTTTAATAGAGTTATATTTTTCAGTCGAGAGAACAGTGACGTAGAATCGTTTTTGAAAATTCAAGCTACCCGGCTGAAAACAATTTGAAAAGCAAAAAAAAAAAAATAAATAAATAAATAAAAAATAAATAAAAAACAAGGAAATAGTCCAAACTTGAAAATACATAGGCGTCAGAACCGGGGAGGGGAAGGGGGGCTTAGCCCCCACTTTTTTTTTTCCAAAGATAGACTTAGTATAGACATTGAACATTGCTGCGTAGGTTTAGCCCCCCCCCCCACTTTCCATCGACACGATGCAGTATAGGTATAGCGGTGGTGTTTTGAAAAGAAATTGACACTGAAGTTCGCACCCCCCCCCCCCCCCCCCCACGAAATAGGATTTTCGTGTTTGGACAGTGGACATTTCTTTTTCTTTTTTTTTCTGTCAAGTTTTTTTTTGAAGGCCCCCCCAACTTTCACTTAAAATGCTTTCGGGGCGGGGTGGGTTTGGGGTTAGATTCAACTTCCTCTATAGTATCAAATTTAAATTTTCTCCCTACTATACTACATTAACCTTATTTGACCCTTACCCTTACAAAAAGTGGGTCGGCCTTTCAATGAACATATTCAGTAATGTATATAAAGTTATGTCTGAAAAAAGAGGCCGCTATTCCTGTGTGCCCAGAGAAAATAAATGCGGAGTTTCCATCATTGGATCGGGTGATCGGATATCCGGTCCTTAGAAGTTCGATTTATAAAGTATTAAGGCAGAAAATTGAAAAAAACTCGAATAACCCCGACCCGGGTTTGCTTACCTAGTTTTACCAACACTCGTAGCGAACACCCCTGCCACCTAGCGTTATAATGCGGCACTAAATTTTGACAACTGTATTCGTCTTCATTGAATATGCTTCATTCTTTGTGTGATTGAATTCACGTTCGTAATAGAGATAATCATTTAAGAAACTGTATCAATTTAAAAGAAAGTAAAATGAATTTAAAAGAATAAAGCAACATAGAAGTAAGGACAAAATGAAGAAGGATAAAAGTCAAAGTGAAATGTAATAAAGACGAATATGAAAACAATAAAGTGACATATAATTACAATAATAACAAAGCATAAAGAAGTAGGCAGAATAAGAATAAAAGCAAGATACATAGACTTTTGGCGGTAATTCCCTTCCATACATGTCTTGTTTAATATTCCAGAGACATACACCTTTACAGAATAAACTGAAACCCATAAAGATTTAATCCCCAAATTATCAAAATACTAATCTAACATTCTGGCAGTAAATAACATATACAGCGTAGTTTTGCCTGACTTTCATTGTTTCACTACATGCACGATGTACTGATCATGATCTATGCTGAAAGTGAAAACGGCTGGAAATCGTAAACAAACCTGCAGTGCCTGCCAATCCGGGGGTTCGAGCAGTTGTCAAGACAAGAATCTCCTTAAATCTAGATGAGGTTTCAAAAAAATTACAACAGGTTGCAACCTTCGTCAAAATAGCGATGCAGACCCGCTCCACTTGATTTGAAATGATTGGCTGTTCAACCGAATACACAGTGCCATATTTGGGTAACTTATCAGAGTACATCGTTCGTTTTACATTCGAGAAGAGTTTACATATTACTTGAATGAAGAGGATAACATAATACTGAGCTGAAAATTGTGTGTAAAGTATGTTTTAGTAGCTTACAATACAGACTGTAAATGTGCGGGAGATTTTATTGATACTGAAGCTTGTAAACAAAACCAATAAACGTAGGACTGATTCACGGCAATGTATGGGAACCAGTTTAAAAGGCAAAGAAAATTCCGCCAAGTAAACAACAAAGAAAGGGATTTGGGATGTTGTCAGTTATGTGCGACGGTGACTGCAAGGTAATACATGTGTCTTATTTGTTGCGAATAATTCGTTTCATTTTTTTTTGGAAATTTATCCGTCCCAACACTGGCAGAAATATAATTAATCTGACTTCAAAATTCCTTCCTCTGTTCCCCTAAGTACATGTAACACTCTTCGCACTCATTTTTAAAAAAAAATTCATTGTTTTTTTTTTTTTTTTTTTTTTGGTAGAAACAAGGAATGTGGAGCTAATGCATGCTGCTAAGGATGGAAAGGTCTTGTGTTTATTGGTTGTGCCTGAGACACCAGTCACAGTTGTACCTTATTTCCATTTTAGGTACATATTGTATTTTGAGTTTTTTTAAGTAGAGGGAACACTGCATTTTTCATTCAATATAAATGTAAAATTCTAGAGATAATTTTTTTTCACCATTGCTGGATACTCGCTACATGATTTTATCTATTTAGAAAAGTATTTAAATTATTTTCTCACATTTTTTAAAGAGGCCGGGTTTGGTGAAGAGATAATTCATTTTTTATTCAAAATTTTATTTTCCATGCATTTGTAGAGGGAGTCTATATACATTTGAGGTGAGCGACAGATTTGATTGTGAAGATGGATGACTTTCAGATGTTGTGATGAAGATTGTTGAAAGGGATTATCAACATAGAACCAATCCATATGATTGGGCAAGTCAGGTGAGGATTGGACTTCAACGTGTAATCAAGAAATGTTTATACATAATGTGTGATGGTGACTGCACTGTAATACATGTGTCTTATTTGTTACGAATAATTCGTTTCATTTTATTATGGAAATTTATCCGTCCCAACACTGGCAAAAATATAGTTAATCTGACTTCAAAATTCCTTCCTCTGTTCCCCCAAGTACATGTAACACTCTTCGCTCTCATTTTTAAAAAATTTTCATTGTATATTTTTTGTACAAGCAAGGAATGTGGAGCTAATGCATGCTGCTAAGGATGGAAAGGTCTTGTGTTTATTGGTTGTGCCTGAGACACCAGTCACAGTTGTATCTTATTTCCATTTTAGGTAATGTCTTTTGAGTTTTTTTAAGTAGAGGGAACACTGCATTTTTCATTCAATATAAATGTAAAATTCTAGAGATAACTTTTTTTTCACCATTGCTGGATACTCACTACATGATTTTATCTAAAGAAAAGTATTTAAATTATTTTCTCACGTTTTTAAAAGAGGCCGGGTATGATAAAGAGATAATTCATTTTTAATTCAAAATTTTATTTTCCGTGCATTTGTACAGGGAGTCTATATACATTTGAGGTGAGCGGCAGATTTAATTTTGAAGATGGGTGACATTCAGATGTTGTGATGAAGATTGTTGAAAGGGATTATCAACATAGAACCAATCCATATGAATGGGCAAGTCAGGTGAGGATTGGGCCTAAAAATAAATTATGTTTGTTTCCTGTAACCCGACCGACCCATTCAAATTATCCCTGGGTGGATTTTTTTTTCCTGACAAATGGCAAAACTTTGTTTAATCAATCAGCTGATTCCATTAATTAAATTAAAAAAAAATAGCTTGTAGCTTAATTTGAGACAGAAAATATGTCAACCTAGTTTACATTTACCTTAAATGTAAAGAGTAATCATTATTGTAACAGTTTCCCCCTACAACTTTCTGAAGTTCATTTTCTGCCGCTAGGCAGCCATTTAGGATGTAATGTTGGGTGTCCACTGTAAATATAACACCTGGTATTTTCGGTCTGGGGATGTTTCCCCATTCAAAAGCAAAAAAAAAAAAAAATTCCAACCTACCGACCCTTGATATTTTGGGAATGTTACAGGAAACAAACTTATTTTTTTTAATCCTTGGACTTCAATGTGTAATCAAGAAATGTTTATATATTGCTTAGCTTAGTGAAAGCATGCCACAAACATTTTAAGTATCTCAGTAAGTTTCATGGATATTACAGATGTGTCACTATCATGTTTGACATTGAGTCGCATTGTCTAAATTTCCATTATGTTTAGTCATACATGTTTTAAGTTACTTAAGTATGTCTTCAAAAGCTTGTGCTTTAATTTCAATAGAAGTAATGCAGGGTTTGACATTAAGGCACGTCCGACCGACTGAGTCTAGTAAAAGATAGGTCCGGTCGGGTAATATGTCTGTGTACTAGACCGACTGGTCGTGTAAGAAAATAAAAGAACTTAATATATATTTTTAAATAAATTATTTATTGCCTTTGAAAAAATAAAACGTTTCTAACCGCAGAGTACAAAGAAAACCACATATGTTACAAACAGCATGACTGAAGTGCTATCAGTTCATACATGTATGTATTGGACATTCGTAACTACTCGGCCATTTTCCTAGAGAGAAACAATGAGCTATTTATGGTTTACGTAAATGGCTTAGTAGTTACGATTGTCTTTGTCAAAAGATTCACGTTTACGACATTTGTAATCATGTAAATAACAATGAAACTATAATAATAAAATTATTCTTGCTAAACTTCTCTAAAATTCTCTGAACATTTTTAATGGCATCGAGTAATATTGTACATACAAATTGAGTAAACTAGGACTAAACACGACAAGCCACATGAATATGACCGAGTTTCAATGTGACGTGTGCGGGAAAATGTTGTTATTTCAATGTGGATTCTCATCATCTGCACAGAAAAAAACAATAATCACTTTTTTGTACTTTAATTATGTTTTCTCAAGTTTGGTCAGGGCTAGTGGTTAAAGGGTAAGGGCTAGTAAAAATGTGCCAGAGTAGCCCGACTGGTCTAGTATTCCAAAAGCTTAATGTCAAACCCTGTAATGAAAACCTCTTTAAAAATTGTTTTGTTTTTCTTTATAATTTTGAAAATTATTATTATTAGGACTTGTACAACACCTGAGTACCTAGATGACTGTTGAACTAATTGGTGAACAAGACAAGATGTCAGAGACGGGAATCCAATACAGATGCCATGATCAAGAATATATACTCATTAATGATATGATCAAGAATATGTAAACTTGTAACGATTTAGAATATCTTATCTGTAAATCACTCTTCATTACTTAATTGTTCACACATGATCATCTACACTTATGACATAAATTTTATCTGTATATTAATCGCCCCTCTTATCTATACCCCCTGCTGATCGTAATGACCTGTGTATTGACTCCTGATCTTAAGGATCTTGTAATGTGCTCCTGATTGTCAGGAGCGGATCTTGAGTATATATATAGTGCGACAGAACTTTAGAATAAGATAGGAAGATGGAAATGTAGAAGACTTAGTAGATAGAACTGTTAGAGATATATAAAGTTACTCACTTACTTGGAATATTACCTAATATTTCTTGGATTTGAATGTACATGCAATTGTTTTACTTGGATTTTATTTTTTGTGAATTTTTTTTCCTGAATGTTTCTATTTGTGATGTGCTGTTAAGTAAACTGTAGACTAGAATTTCGGCATCTATTTTCAAGATATGAGAAACAAGGATAAATTAATTTATTCATGCAAACTGATATTATGAAATATGTTGTAAGACCGCTCGGATGGATGTCCTGATCAAGAATATACACTGTTATCGATGATTTGATCAAGAATATGTAAACTAAGAAATATCTTGGAGATTTATAGATGAACATGCAAGCATTCATGATTTTGAATGTTATTCAGCCAGTGAGTTTTTGCACAAATTTAATTTTCAGTACAGTAATTTAAACTGGATGTGTAATTTTCAGTACAGTTATGTAAAATGAATATATGTTACTTATTATGATTGTCAAATTCTCAACAGTACATAATTGTAGTTTATTTATACGATCACTCTTGCAGAACAAAACACGCAGAACTTTTTTTTCTCTGTGTGCATCATACACTTGTAAATGTTTTACACCACCATGTTTACATATTTTACACTGTTGACGTAAATCGAGCACACACATGAAAATGCGTATAGCTGGATACATGCAAACATGCATCTACCATAACCTATTACATATTTTCCAAGGTGTTTGAAGTCGAGCACATACATGAAAATGTGTGAAGCTGGACAACATACACAAATACAGATGCATCTGCCACAACCTATTACATATTTTCCAAGGCGTGTGAAGTCGAGCACATACATGAAAATGTGTGAAGCTGGACACATATGCAAACACACAAGCATCTACCACAACCTATTACATATTTTCCAAGGTGTGTGAAGTCGAGCACATACATGAAAGTGTGTGAAGCTGGACACATACACATATACCACAGACATAAAAACATAATCTAAACTAAGTCAGGCACAGACAGGCTCATTGGGTGAAGCTGGACTCATACATGATCTCATGCATTTTGCAAAATGCATCCTCACATATATATTCTAATAGATTTTTCATCATTTTTTGTGTTTGTGAATATGTAAAATGCATCATTTTGCATTACAAGTTGAAGATTTTATTCACCTGTATATAAGCGCAAATAAAATAGCCTTTTATGTAATTTTTTTTACTTTTGAATTCAATTCAAACTGCAAAGTTTATTTTATATATGTACATGCACCATAAAGAATAACGTAAATAATATTGTACCGGTATTATATTTTAAAGTGAAATGGGACCTCCATTTCATAAGCAGAAATGTGAAATTTATACTTGTCATCAGTATTTTTTTTTAATTTTGTCTCACATGTATCTGAATGTTTAAAGGAAAACAAAAGTCAAAGATAGCTCAATATAATGTTTATATTCAAGATCATAACTGGAGATTTTTTGTGCTGTATATCTGACTCATCATATGATGATGAGCCAAAATACAGAATACTTTAGGTCATTTTTGTTTGGAAAATGAAAATTATCAATATGCCAATTTTTCCCATTGTTATATTATTAATTAATATATTATTAATATCAATGTACATATAAAAAATCTATGCCATCCAATCCAGAGAGTTGTAGGCAATCCTGGTGCAGATAATATTTTTTTTTACCGTGTTTCGTAGTAGAGCGGGAACACATTGTATGAGAGGAATGTATATTAATGGTTTTGGTTGTATATGTGGGCGTGGCCAAAGGAAGGCCAATGAGAAATGAGTATTCAGTAAGGTGTTCAAATCATTCTAAGCCAGTGCTCTTCAATACACACACATTTTTTTTTCTTGCTTTATACATGTATATAATATATATGTCATATTTGTATAAATATACTGGTAATGGAAATAACAAAACTGTTGAAATGTATTTTAATTTGGATTTTTTCATACATGCAAATATTATAGGGTGTTCGCGCATTTTTAACTATTGCACTGAATGCACGTCCGGCATTCTCCCTTGAGACATTATTTACATAGCGACGGACACAGGTTTTCCATAGTTAACCATCTATGGTTTTTGCTTGGGCGGTTTTTAATGTCTGTGATAGGGGTATAATTTATTACAAGTAAAATATTTTACAAATGCATTCCAGTGCTTTATTGTTTCACATTCAATGTAATGTAAGTTAAATATGTATCAAAATAAACGCCAGCTGCTCCAACTAAGCTAACCTGGCTTACAGCATAGTTGTTGTATTATTTGAGGTGTAGTCTGTCAGATAATGATGAGTCGAGTGTTTGATTCTGTAGATGACCATTTCTAATGCTCATTTCAACTGGAAATGGATACAAGATAATTAAAAAAAATATCTTTGACATTTGTCTTAAAATTCTGGGTACTGACTAGATTAGATTCTTTAAACTACCTGTGAAAATCCAAAGTATAAGTGTATTAAACAATAGTCAGCATTTAAATAAGACTTTTATAAAATATGTGTATTTAATGAACTTTAATATGGCATTAAAGGTGAAAGGTTATATTTAATTATCTTTTCATGTAAGTAAAGGTTACCTTTTCACCTTTACTTTTTGTAAAGTTAATACAAAGATGACCTTGCTTTCTGGAGCACCTTTAATGAAATTTACTTCGAAAGTAAAGTTTTGTAAAGGTGTTTTTTCAAGCAGTGGTGGGTCCATGCCACAGTCCTGTCTGCATTCGTTCTCTTTCAAATATAACATGCATTCTAACAAGAGGTAAATTAAAAAAAAACTTTAAAATGTGCATTTGAAAACTAAGAATAAGACGTGCAAACGCGCATTAACAAAATATGAGGTGATCAAGTGCGATAGTAAGAAATAGTAGCAGAGGAATGTCAGGTTAACCGGGACGCGAGATCTAAAATTAATATGTGTACCTCAATACTTCCCTGCATGACCGTAATTAAATCAATCTTTTCATATCAGATGTATTGGAAAATTATACATACCTGTACTGTTTAGATTTACTCCAAAATAAAGTACTGGTGAGTAGCAAAGCTTATACAGTACACATTTTCTTTGCCCCATTTCCCTCTTTCCTGACGAGAAGCAGACGACAAAAGCAACGTTTTTAAAGATTTCACATGGGCCGCAGTCCTCGACCAAAATAAAAACTAGTTTTTTCATGTGACATTTTATCATTAATTTCTCACTTTAATATTTTGATTTTGGTCAATCCATGCGGCCACATAAAAATTTAACATTTCATGTTGATATTTTTCGTATTTTCACGGAATTTCTGGATCTATGTTCGGTTTGGATAATACATTTCTTACTTACAATGACCAAATCTGCCAATGTATTTATAAAAAAATAAACTACGGTTCCCAAGCTTTATATCTATGAATATATCAAACAGAATGAGTTTCGTTTGTATTTTGATTATAGACAGGGCCGCTAAACATAAACTACCGTACTTAGCTCTTTAACACGCTAGTCGCAAATGCTTCGTGCAATCATTTTCTCATCATTAAAGTGACTTTGCAAGAAGGGAACAATGGTTCAGTTCTCTAGATGTATTATCAAAAGTGTGACACAAATATTCGGTAGACCCTGTATAAAGAGAATCAGGATATCTGTACTGTATTTTAATTATAAAACACCTGGATGTTTATTTTGTTTGTAATAATGATTTGAAGTATAACATAGATATATGGTCATGAATGTTATTTTTTAAACAACCATCAACTTACAGAATCCAAACATTTAATTTTTTTTTTACATCAAAATCATTTTGATTCGGTGGATTAAAGCATCCATAACCTAACAGTTAACAGATAAATGCATTTAGGTGTAACGGATGCGACAAGGTCTCTGCATACAACAGTGTTTGTGTGTGAAAATGAAATCTAATATCCCCTGGGGCTATATACGTGGCGGGTACGGGTTAAAGTTATTCTCTTTGCTAACTCAATTGAGACGTTCAGAACAATGACTCAGCTGAATGTTTGTTCAATATATGTCGTATGAAAAAGAGGGACTTTCTTGTCCGGTGACTTAAATTTTATATTCTCTGCATTGATCATTATGTTAATATAAATGCTGGTAAGAGAAAAGCATTGATGTGTAATCAACATTAATTAGAAAAATAAAGATACTCCCTGTCCTTCCGTACGCACTTTGACCTGTTGCAATAACTTTACATAAAGGCATTTTTGCGCACAATGGTGATTTCGTATCAAGAGACTGCAGCAAATACCGAGTGTCCTTGTTCGAGAAAAGACACTGGCATTATTTTATATATCGACTTCCTATTGAATACTTAGAACATATTTATGTGTTAGGTGATGATTTTGATTTGTATAACAATTTACTGCTTTTTATAGTACAAAGTTTATCAACCTTGTTTGGGCCAATAATAATACAGTGATTAATCATTTAGCGTAATTCAGCAATTATATAGAACTTTCAATATCAATAAAATCCTTTTGTTTTTGAGAAGAAAATTTCAGTTGCTGGTATTCTCAATCCAATATTCAGACTGAAGATATTTCCACACAGCATTAACAAAGCAAATTTTAATTCAATTAATAATTTTATATACATTAGATTGAATACATACAAATCTATATTCAATAAGATAAAACGTGAATAAAAAAGGTCAATGTAAAATTATTCCTGTACTAGAGCTACCTTGTTAATGAATTTAGTTGTTCAAAGAGTTTAGGCATACATCAATTTTTGTATATCAATGATCATATTTAATATTCCCTAAGACTATTTACCAGGCGGGTACAGCTTAAAGTTATACTCATTGCTATGTCACTTTAGACGTTCAGAATAAATACTCGGCTGACTGTCTGTGCAATCTGTGTCGTGTGAGAAAAAAAAACACAGAATTTCTTTCCCGGTGGTTTAAGGACCCTCTCTATACAAGTGGAAATTATTTTTTGGACATTGAGAAAAATATATTGCATAAAGGATTAGTTATTGAGGTTATTTATTTAATTTTGAATGTATGCTGCGTGGCATTTACCCTCAGGTAAAAAAAAGAGTAAAGACAACACAGTATTAGTGAATAGGAATCATTGTTAATTACATCAGTAGAGAATATACATATTAATAAGGCGTTCAGTTAATTCATTTTGACCTTTTAAATATTAAGAATAATTTGTTTGATTATAAATTTAGTAATATATTGTAAATTGCATTTTTTTTAGAATTAAGATCAAAGGGCGGATCACTCTAACTGCAGAAAAATACCTTAGAATCAGAACTCTTTAGTGTGCAGTGTAGAGAGGGTTCTTAATTGAAAACTGTATATTTTTTTTGGAGAAGTTAGGTAGAGAAAAGCACTGTTGTGTAATCAACATCAATGAAAGATATGGAAATAACAAAAAATATTCAAGAGCAAAAATAAAGATACGCACATAAACTTGCAGCAATAACTATAACTATAGATATATTAACCACATAAATAGATGTTGATTTCGTCCTGAGAGACTGCTGCATCTGTTTCTTCTGTGTTGGAAAAGAAACATTGAGCTAATTTTATCTAACGACTCCTACTGAATACTCAAGAAATATATTTTTGTATTGAGGCATGCTTTTGACTCATTAAGAAATGCATTATTTAAAAACGGCAATAAGTTGTATCCTTATTCTGTTCTGACAAATATAATCATATTGGTCATTATTCGCACAAATGTTATTTAATCATGTAGAACGTTAAATATCAGGCGAATTCTTTTGTTGTAGAATTAAAAAATCCTTGGATTAGAACTCAATCAAAAGTTTACACTAAAAACTCCGCCCAACAACCTTTTTTTTTTAACTAAACGCCAAATTTTGAGGAATAATGAATCTGTTTGTACAAAAAATGTATACATTTTACTAAATCATGTGACCTCGTTATTGAGAGAAATGAGTCAAGAAGATAAAGTTCATCTTGTGAAAGGATGGTATTTTTGGAAATTGGTAAAGGTAGTTTTCATCGAAAGAAAACACAAAATGAAAAGCAAATAAAAAGGACAATGTAAGATATCGATATTTAATATGTACTACTCGTAAACAGAAAAATGCATTCAGGTGTAATGAGTGTTTATAAATGCAACAATGCTCCCAAACAATGATCAAAATTTAATTTTCCTAAGGCTATAAACGAGGCGGGTACAGCTTAAAGTTACATTCATTGCTATGTCACCTGAGACTTTCAGAACAATGACTCGACTGACTGTTCGTGCAATCAGTTTCGTGTGAAGAAAAACACGGGATGTTTTGGTTTGGGTAAAAAGCTGAGCGGAGTGGATATGTTTCTGTTTGATATTAAAGCTGTCAACACCTCTTTCTAGGTTTGTCCGTTTGGGATAGGCAAATAAGTCAAACAGTCTACCTTAGTTTAAATGCCGTAAATACATTACATAGTAAAGCATTTCTGGATCATTTTCATTGTGACATTTAAAGGTCGTCAGCTTTTGAGTGCATAGGTTTCTTTTGTTTCTTGTTTCATTCTTGGTTCACAAATCCAAAAAATGACAATGCAGAGGAGAGATGTATGCAAAAGAGAGTGTTTTGTTCTCAAACTTTCTGAACTGTTATAATACAGACTACAATCCATGACTTTTTTACCCCAAGCCGAATGTTGGTACTGATGGAGAAGTTGGTCAGAGAAACACTGTTGTGTAATCAACATTAAAGAAACGTGTGGAGATAGCGATCACTATTCAAGATCAACAAAAATGATACGCGCATAAACCTGCAGCATTAACTAAAACTATAGACACATTTACCACATACATAGATGATGATAATTCCGTAACGAGCGACTGATGCCTCGAGGCTTTGTTGGAAAAGAAAAATTGACCTTATAGTATCTATTAACTTGCCACTGAATACTCTAAAACATATCTTTGTGTTAAGGCATGAATTTGACTCCATGATTGGTAAAGAAATGCACTATTCTAAAAAGTATATTTTACCCTTATTCTAGTACATGTAAATATCATCCCATTGACCATGATTTCAACAAGCGTAAATAAGCAAACATGGAGAACGTTGATTATCAGTTAAATTCTCTTATTTGTGAAGAAAATAATTATCGGGTGTTGGTAGTCTTATTCAAATGTTCATACTGAAAACTTTGCCCGACAACCTTCGTAGAGCTAAATGCCAAATTATAAAGAACAATCAATCATTTTGTACAACAAACAATACTAATTACATTTAAATAAAATATATGACGTTGTGATGCAGAGAGAAAAAAGTAAAAATATCTATCCATATCTTGGAAATACAAATCTTTGATACCTCCTACGCATTCCAGCTTGTAAAAGTTGCAGTCTACAATATTGTTAACCATACTATGTTTAACAAGCAAAACCCCATTTTGAAAAAAAAAAATCTTTCAAGAAGGATATTGAGATAATGAATTTAAGTCCATTAAACGATACAAAACAGGATCAGAGCAAACACGCGCAAGTACGTTAAGGCTAGGTAGAGGCTTTTGTATGCAAATGAGCTAATGGACATGCATAATTTGTGTAATTTTTACACAGAGAAGGTTCGAGCGAATTTTCTTATACATACTTAGTACACACAACTTTGAAAATCAACTGCACTATGATGTCATACTGTGACGTCATTGTTCTTTCCCATTCAAGGTAATAAAAACATGAAGAAAATGACACTGGAGCAAGGGCATAATCTATATAATTTTAAATAAATGAAATAAAATATTATGAAGAATGCTATAAAAATGAATAAAATAACTGCACAAATCCTAGCCGCTGTCGACATTTGTTCAGCAGTATCATAAATCCTTGTAATATTCTGCGTCTAATAATACCTTGTTTCTGAAAAACAAAGTTAAAAATTATGACCTAGGAGACATGGAATGTGATATAAAAAGATTTGTAGATAACGTTTTGAATCATGTTTTATTACTATTGTAACATTACAATTTATTTGATTTGGGATTTTGGTTTGAAAGATACCGAACATGCGGAAATATTAAAATAAAATTCATAAATTACCGAAAATTGTTCAAACATAACTTTTGTAGTTTTATTTTTTAGTTTAGTTTTTTTTGGGGGGAGTTTTAAACTGTTGCATTTGATAAAAAAAGTGTATAGAGGTTCCTTACTTAATGAAACTTAACTTGACAACAAGCAAATAGAGTGTAAAACCGTGGATTATTTTTAAACTAAACACTTTAATTGATATATCTTATTTTGATTGCAAATTAATTGTGAAAAAGTCTATCACGTTCTGTTTATTCGCCTTTTTTACGAGACCTCTTTAAAAATTTGCTTTTATTAAGTACAAACATGATTTATTAGTCCAGAAAATTATATGCACCTTTTGAATAAACGGTAACTTTATCAAAAAAAATGAGAATATAACATCTGTATAAAGGAGCGGTATCATGTGATCATGTGATGGTGATAATTCTTCTTCGCTTTACATGGACTTGTTTATGATCAGATAAGTTTCAAGGCCACCGAGAAATTTGACACGTTAGTCACAAATGCTTCGTGCAATCATTTTTTCATCATTTCAGTGACTTTGCAAGAAAAGAACAATAGTTTCAGTTTCAGGTTCTCTGGATGTATTATTAAAAGTGTGACACAAATATTCAGTAGACCCTTAATGAAGAGAATCAGGGTATGTGTACTCTATTTTAATCATGGAACACCTTGACATTGTCTCAACAAAAAGTCCATTTTGTTTGTAATAATGATTTGAAGTATGATATAGATATATATATGGTCATGCATTTATTTTTAAAACCACCATCATTCTACAGAATCTCAACAGTTAAATTTATTTTACATCAACGTCATTTTATTTTTTGGTGCATCAAAGCATACATAATCTACAAGAACAGATAATGACCCAAAATGCTAAATCTGGTACTATTGACTACATGTATTTGACTAAAAAGAAATTAGGCACTGGTACAGTTGGGGCATATTACTTATTTCTTCCAGATTTTACTTAGCGAGACTTAGAAGTAAATCCCGTAAAAACAGCATGTGGTCGATAATCTAATCGTCGAATTGAAGGCCACAACAAATGTTTTCTTCTTAGTAGGCATCAGATTTAGCATAAATTCTGCTTCATACGAAGTCTGCCAATGACGGAATGCAATTAGTACTAAGGGAGTTTAGAATATTTTGTTGGAATACCTAGTCTCTAAAAAACCACATAGATGTTTTTTATAAGATTTATATTTAATATATTTCTTCTCAAAATATTCACATTATCTACTCAAGCTATTTCTTGAAACTACTCTTATAATATATGCGTGGTGCATACATCTGTATACATGCATAGGAATGGTAGGTAAAAAAAATGTTTAACTGTGTCGACAGGAGAATTTAACTTTTACAATTCAGTGTATACATGAAATGATAACATTTATTCAACGATAATTCAAGCATTTTTATTTGAATGATCTGAATTATATTGTTCTCGATATTTTGAAAGAAGTAGCAAGAAAACGCCTTACACAGTCACTACAAAAAACATTTAGCTAGTGATAAAGAATTGAAATGCTGTCCATTTTAACTACATTTATTTTTTTTATAGAAAACAAGTTACAAGTAATGAGTGAAAATATTGGAAAAATTTTCTGACAAAATAATTCATAATAAAATGATTCATATGTGCACATTCAAATTCTTTATCCTTCAAGAAATTACCTTTAAGGAATATGTTATTAACAGAAGAAAATAAATAAAAAGGACAAACGTGAGAAAGAAACCTGTGAAAAACAAGAATACCTTCCGCTGACGATAAAAGATCTCAATGATTGGAATTGTTTTCCGTCATTTATTCAATTCAATTCCCTGTATTTTTGCTTGATGCCATTGTGTATATTGGACTTGAAATGTACCTATAGTTTCATTTTATGTTCACAAAATGGAATTTTTTTTATCTATTCCTACAAACTGTTTGCCCACATCATCTTCGCTTTTAAGGTTGTTGATAGTTCAGATGTAAAGATATCCCGGATATGCCTACAGTTTCTAGTTTGATTTTTTTTTTATTTCATTCGCAATCTATTACTAAAAGAACATCAACCTAATTGTCGATAAAAAAATGTCATTTTTTCCTCAAAACAGTTTTATTTGTCGTATTTGTCATATATAACATTTTTTTTCGAAAAGCCTTAAAAAGAAGTGCCATCTGTTATTTAACAGCTACAGACGTTTCGCTTATACGTCATATTAAGGAGGCTGGTGGGTCAACAAATTAATCCCAAAGTAACCACCAGATTTAACTTATTTTTTTTAAATAAGGTATCTTTAGCTGTCAACTATCATTTTACAAAGAAAAAAATCATACATTTTAGTTTTAAAATTTGATCATTTTTGTATATTTTATATGGAGCTCTCCTTTATAAAGGAGATTGAAATAGTCTAAAAATGGCTGCCATCCCTCACTCTTTAAATTAATGTATATGCTAAATCGATTTCACTCGTTTTCTTGTTTTCAAGATGCAGATATGTAGTCTCTTTAACCATAAAACCAGATCAGGTGAAATTAAAATGAACTGAAGAAAAATTATTGCAAATGCATGTTATATCGATTTAAGCGAGCACCTGTCACTGTCTGATAATGTAAAGTCATATAGAAAGGTCGGAACCAACGGTGCATCTTACGTTAACTTAGCAGTAATTCGAATGTTAAATCAAATATTTCTGTTGAGTAAAATTATTAGATTATTATTATATTTACTTTCAATTGAATTTGCTTCAAAAGAGGATGAAGGAATTGTGTTTTATTTACATCAGGTAATTTAAAAAGCATGCAATAAAAATAGCGACACGTAGTAGACCGTCATGCTTTATAACTCAATCAATTGTCACGTGATAAAAACTACCCTTTATTCAAGGTGGTGTACCCGACCTATTAAAATAGAATGTTAATGCCAATCCATCCTCATTCCAAAACGTGTACTGTATATCTCAACATCGTTTGAGGAAAATATAAGCGCTTCATTGATGCATATCTTGCCATCATTGTTGTCCGTATGTGTGTTTAAGTTTTTTTTTTTTTTTTTGTTAGTCAGTTTCCCCACATGGATTGTATATTTCAAATATGTAAGTATATTTTTAATTTATTCTATAAAATTGGTTTTGTTTATCTTTTTTAAAAAAAATTTTGTGAACATGAGCACCAGTTCTCTTGCTGTAGATTACGTTTTACTGAAGGTATTATTTTCACATCTACACATACGAACTGTCCGTGGTTCTGCTTTCTTTTATTTTTTACTATGAATTTTCTAGAATAGAGTTGTAATATTTTTTTGCATCAATTTATTAAGCATTTTAAATAATCTTCAATACAAGGGAAAATTTCACTTCGTGAAAGTGCAAGTATATGTCATAAAAATGTTAAAAAATTAGTAGTTTCAATAATTTTTAAATAAACATGGTTTCTACACACAATCTTTAATAAATTGGACTCAAATGCTCTTGAAAATCGTTATACGAGTATCATACTGAAAAAAATAAATTGAAGCCTGTGTTCTAGCATCTTTAAAAGATATTTATGTTACTTTCTAGCAAGTATATTTGGGAAAAATTGGATCTCTATTATATTTGCCTATTTATTCTCCGCTCTTTAAAAAGAATCGAATTCTAGATTTTAAGCTTATTATCTGGTACGCTGTTACTAAGTAAAAGATTTTTGCATTTAAAGATAAAAGAATTGAACAAATGTTCCCCTTTAAATTCTTTCGTTTTATGAAAAGTATTAATGAATCATTAATCTGTCATTTCAGAGTGCAAATTAAACTGCAGGATTGAAAAAAAAGCATGGCCACTGGACCAAACCCTAGCGGCCGTTCAAGGTTTGCAAAACTCGGAATGGCAATAAACGAAGAACTGACCCAGGCCTGTAGAGACGTCTTACAAATGGAGGTACCTCCTGGGCTTGTCTACAACAAAGTGAAAGCATCATCAATTTATAAGAATATACGTCCAGAGCAAGAACTTCGTCTTATAGGTGCCAAAACTGATGGTTATAAAGAATTTGATATTACATTGTTATATACACTGATAAGAAACATATGTACAAAGATTCCTCGTCCAACAAAAGGTTGGGGTGGGAACACGATGCCGTCCGTAGGAGAAACAACGATCGGCGATGACGTTGAGAGGATCAGGATGATAAGAAACAACATGTTTGGACACATTAGCTCGGCTTCTACCTCACAGACAGTGTTTGATGACACGTGGTCAATCATAACTGATATCTGCCAAAGACTGCAAACGTACACAAACAAAGACTACATGTCTGGACTGAGTAATATTCAAAGTCAGGCCTTAGAAGAGGAGTACGAAACAACAGTCATAGAAAAACTTAAGGAAGATTATAAGAATAACCAATCTCTAATGGAAAAGTTATCTTCTGTGGAACAGGACGTGCTTGAATTGAAAACAAAATCAGAAAACAAAGGTGACTATAATAAATACTAATATTAAAATAGTTACTATTGTTTAGCGGGGATTTAATGTTGGCATTATAAGCGAGGGTGCCAAGATCGCTAAAATTGAAAATCGGTAATAATTAATTGTGCTTTATTTGTAATAACTTCTTTAGTGTGTTTTTAAAATCGCTAAAATTACATCTCGCTAAAAATAAATTTCCATATTTAAGAACAAATCGCTTAATTCGTGTCAGGTTAAAAATTCCACTCATACGGTATATACGATATATAGCGGAGACTACTGTTTCATGCTATCATAAATTTGATAAATACGTTTCTCAATATTAGTAATGTGGAATATGTTTCCTTTCGATTCTCTCAATTTGAACACAATGGGGCTAAGGAAGAAAATATCTATGATACCGAACTAGACTTTAAAACTATGGTGCAAACTATAGTGCAAAATGATCGATTACTTGCAAATGTCTCTCTTGTTATCGGAGGAAGAACAAAGACATATTTTACATATGAAAGTTCTCAATGTACACGAACTACAAAACTCAAGGCCTGCATGCGTATAGTGGGTTGTTATACTGTACATGACGATGTTGAAACTTACACAAACCTGTTTTTCAGACTTCTCCTAGGAAGTCATGCTGTAGCTGCTGCGGCATCGCCGAAAACCACGGTCAAAATGTACGATCCTCTCCCATTCTGGCCCTGGTTGAACGAGGAAAGAATTCTTCGTAGCTAATTAAAATATTGACCAATGCGAGTAAGGCATATTCGGATGATGACCTCTATTGCGACCTTTTACTATCCAATATTCCTTGTATACTGTTGAGTCAATTGATGCGATGAAAAAAACTTCCCACTGACTGAATATGACGTCACAATAGAGAGGCGTAAATATTCAAAATTACGACGCAATCCGGACCTTGGCTTGAGACGATGCTGATGCGGCAAACTTTCCCTGATATTTTCACTTCCTTCAAGTAAGACCTAGTCTAAAACTATATATAGAATGATGTAGAGATAACGAACAGGCTTCAATATTGTTATACTTTTCCATTCCTTGTCTTTCATTTCATTTCAGCTTGTTTTTACTTGTACAATTATCAATCTATAGAGAGTTTATAGTTACCAAACTTTCACAGTATTTTTTTAATCTGCTTTCACTAAAAATGATGGATATAATTTATTAACGACCATCTGTTTATTCGTCTGTAGTGAGTGTGTATTTTGAATTTACTAGAGTGAGAAAAGTGAAAATTTGTCATGTTGGCAATTTAACTATTACTTTTCTAAAAGTAAATTCAAAATATACACATGATAGTCCTTACGTCCTATTAGCTGCATTCTTTCTGTCCGAAACACGTCTATTTCTAGAAGATATTAAGGAAAAACCGCTTGAGCTCTTGCAATAAAAGAAGAAGGTAGGGTTTCCATACAAATCTTGCCCTGTGATTTTCTAAAAAATGAAACTGGTGTAAAAGTTGAAAACTCATGCTTTTTAAATCATTTTTCTCACTTGTGTTTTTAAATGCTGATTATGACGTCATAAACATGTGCATTTTCCCGTATTTTCTTTAAAAGTTGCAGAAGACACCAATTTTCAATGGAATTTTCTTTCAGATAACATTGTCCACAGGCATTGCCCACAAAGATCTTGAGATATGTGATTTGTTATTGAATTTTGCACAAAATATCAAAAAATTAACGTGGGCGACGGCTGTAGACACTGCTTTCTAAAGGAAAATCACCCTTGAAATGTGCCATTTTGAGGCTTTTTCTGTTGAAAATAGATAAATGCTTCACATTAATGATGTCATATTTGCAGAATGGTAAACCCCCATGCCATATTCTTCCCTGATTTATCAGAGTCAATTATTTAACTTATATTTAAGCCAGTTTCAAATCTTTTTGATGTCATTAAATTTTTAGGGCGCAATAAAGCTAAAACCATACCTTCTTCTTATATGTTATTATGGTCCCCATCTAAATTGGGGAACATACACTTTTTACTCTATTTCTTATTAAGGTCTTCCGTCTTCACTGAGGACCTTATAGTGATTATACTGTTTCTTCTTATTACCATTATTCTTGTTTTTTATACAAATTTGTGCACGCGATATCTCGGGAACTATTCATCGGTTTTTCATCAAACTGTCAGGGATAATGTGCTCTTATATGCCATTGTTAATTTTGTCAAAATTTTGGAATAAATCGCTTCCGGTTCCAAGTTATGGCCATTTTTCTGATTTTAAAATGAAATTTTGTACACGCGAGATCTAGCGAACTACTAAAGATATGAACTGGAGACTTGTTGGAGAACATAGGACATGACTTTAAGATGTGCGGAAAGTTCTTTTCTTGTGTCGTCAATACTTCTGGTCGCCTCCGGAAGCAAATGATAAAAGTCCAAATTTTCATCTTTTTTGGTTTTAAGTATTTTTCTTTGATATTAGTAACATTAACAGCGACTCTTTAGAGAATGCTAAACATGTAATCTGATTTAAAATCAAAAAAGGAAATCTCGAGATATTCGCGTTTAAAAATTTGAGTAGTGGTTCCCAGTGGCGTAATGGTTAGCGCGTTGGATATTCACGCAGGCGACCAGGGTTCGATTCCCCGTATGTCGGATTTTTTTTATCAATTTTCCAGCTCATTTCTTCGTTTTTTTTATTTCAGAATCGGACGGAAGACTTCTTGTTGCTCGCAACGAGATCGTTTCTAGTTATTATTATTATTTTCTGGGAAAATTTTGTTCGCAAGTGATCTTGTAAACTACACATCCGACTTAGATGAAACCTTTTCAGGGTCAATAGACTTGTTACGTAGATTTGCAGAACGAAGGTCATTTTGCACGCACGTGCTTGCAAGAGCGCGCATGTGTAACACGTGAAATGACCGTTAATATATCTGTAACTTTTCTCTTTTTTATGAAATGTTTTGAAATTCATAATGTAAGAACACATTCGTAGTATACCGTATAGCCGGTTATTTTGGCGGGGATATAATTTTGGCCTATTTTTGGCGATTTATAAAAATTCACCAAAATAAAAACCCTTAAATTTGTAGCCTACACACCTTGCGTTTGTAAATTCCCCATTTTTGAATGGTTACGGCAAATCATCGGTAGAGCTATCACGGGTAAATAAGTCAACAAATAGTTATAAATAAAGATATAATTATCCATACTGACATTATTTTGATTAAGCAAAAATATTTAGTTCAATAAGTTTATCGTTTTTAATTTGGATTTCATCACTGCCAAAACTTTTACTCCAATCGACCCTCAAGTTATAAAGGTGTCATGCTTGCTAAACAATGGGTTCAAATCATCTGTCATTTATACGGCACACTCATGACCATGCAGTGAAGTTTTTTCAACAATTAATGTTTTAAACTATATGTACTTGTTATAATTAAATAACTGGTATCAATTAATACCTATGTGTGAAAGTAATTGCGCTTGGGATGGTTTGTTTACGTAAACACAGACAGTGCTTGGAATGCATTGTCAGCAAAATGTATATATAAACGGATTTAGCTACGGAAAAGATAAGTTTGTGTCCTACTTTCATTTTCAATTAAATACAAATATTTTACTTCTTTAGAAATGTTCTTTACATTATTTGTGCAGTTCAAATAAGAGCTACATCTGAATTTCCATATTTGGGGTGTGATTTAACAATAGTATCTGCGTATTTCCGAGGATTTCCCGACACTTTGGCAAGTTTGGGAGGGTGTGCAATCGTAACAAGAGCGCATTCGTAACCTGCGATTTAATGGTAATAAATTTGAATTCACCAAAATATTATCCACCAGAATTAATGATATATCTTAACAACCTCAAATCGCCAAATTTGTGCCCCGCCAAAAAAACCGGCTATACGGTACTCTAGATGACATGGTCAAAATATAGAAAGATCTTATACGCATGAATGTGCTCTTCGCTCTGACTGGATGAAACTAAAGTCTCAATATCTTTTTTTGTCTTAATCCTTCGAAATTTAGTCATACATTTTAAAGATTTACAGTATGATGTATAAGAATCATGCATGAACGTGTGCTGTAATATGATTGGCTAAAATTTTAAATGCCTATAACTTTCTTGGTTCTCAACAAAATGGGATGAGATTTAGAATATGAATAGGTACGATGTATAATGGATTCTCATATCAAGCTACTATAAAAAAAATGATTGCATGGACGAGTACACATGTGTGCATGCGCAAAAATGAATATTTTGGTAAAATAAGTAACATTTAGATTTGGTTTTATTCTCAGTAGATAGATATTTGTTAATCGTTTTGCCAACATGCCATGATCATCAATGCATATGTATGAACGTGCGTGCGAATGCAAATGTTAAATACATATAGTTGATTTCATTGTAATTCTTTTATTTTAAAATGAAATCTTTCGATACATGTACTAAGGAAATAAAAAAAAGTCTTACAGGAATAATGCACGGAAAGGGAATATGTATGAATTAATTGATAGTCAGTACATATATCCCTTTCTACTCCCCATTTTCTTTTATACTTTTTTGTAGTAGATAAATTTGATAAAATTGTTTTCATCACAAGAAAATTAAGTTTTGTACATAACAGATTAATTGCCATTCTCTGTAAGCATTTAAACTCTTATAAAGGGAGTGTGGCACGCATGGTCTTGGATTTTTATGAAACTAGGCACACATTCCTATATTGATGTATGAAACTTAAAATCCTAATAAAATGGTTGCTATGGCCCATGGTTACCATGGCAACCAACACACATTTTTCATGGCCTAAAAATTGCTAAATTTTGTTGAAAAATGACCCTTTTTTGACTTGACAAAAGTCTTTAATAGAACAATATATTGACAAGACTCTACCTTTTTGCCAAAATACACTATTTAATAGTTCTTTAGACAATTTTTAGCATTTCAGCAAATTTACCTTATAGAAAAAATACCACCCCCCCCCCCGTTTTTAGGTAGGAATTTGCGAATGGGAAATTGTAGATTTTAAGCTCTTTT